TTGTTTCACGTCAGTTGTGACTCAATTTTGTTGTTATTCCTATCTTTGGTTTTTCCAGGCTGAAACAAGTTCAGATTTGTCTCGTTTCTGTCAATTCGGTGTCTCTATGTTCTATCTGTAAACCATAGCTGGTTCAAGTCTCACCATAGTAATTTTATCTATTAATAATGTTTTATTTGTTGTTTTTGCTTTACCCTCACAGGTTGAGAAACATTTTAGAGACGTGGAAAGTCAGAAGTCCATGCAACGTTCACAAGCACAGCAAACACAGAAGGACTCCACTTTATCTTCTTGAGTTGGCGGTGCGGGTCGGCCGGAGAAGGCGACGCGGGTGGTTTTGTTCCCACTGCCAGACAAAGTCGGCATTCCTTCTCCACAGTCGGAGACCACCAGGAGGAGCGCTGAGGGCCCTGGATCCCGAAGATCAAAATACCATTAAATGAAAAAGACAAAAAAAGAAAGAGGAAAGATTAAATCTTAAATTAGACTTTATAAAGAATAATTTAAACATGAACCATAAACCAACCATAGTTTCCTTAACTAACTTGTCTCATTCTGCCCCCACTCCTCCCCTCTTGTCCTTGAAGCCTTTTCTTTTTCCCGCCCTCCTTCCTTTGCCTTCAGTTCCATTTCAAAAAAGAGAAAACTAGAGCAGTCAGAAAGGCTTGTTAGCTTTATTTTCTGTCATTGTTTCCTTTCTTTTCTTTTTTTTTTCTTTTTTTTTTTTGCTGTATCCATGTTCTACTGTCTGTATTTTCTGTATTTTAAACAAAATGTGACTTGAAATGCCACACTTTAAAGGACATTTTCTAAAATAAAAGTAACAAAAATTCTGACTGTAATACCGTAATTTTCAACGACTTTTTTTGAGAGCAACTTTTTTTGTTTTTTTGTTTTATTTTTTTAAATTGCCAGGGTGCTGTCTTTTTCTTGTCTTAACCCTGATTCTATATGACATCCTCGGAATACATTTGGCTGCATTCCTGAGGAAACTCCCACTTACTTGTGTCGCGTGAACTCAGACTGACCATCAGCTGTCCTCAGTAAGGACAACGTTTTAATCAGATTCGGGTTACACTCGGGTTTCACTTTCTGTCCTGTTTGGTAGCATTGTAATCTGTGTAACTGCAGGAAACTGACGCCATGTCTCTTTCAAATTAATTATATAAATGTTTTAAGCCTCTGGGTTACTCTAAAGCTGGTCGATGACATTTGCCTCCATCCTGTGGGCAGCAACGAACTTCTCAGTAAATCAGTGTGAATTTTTAAATGAGTACCACTAATGGAGCTGCAGTTATGTGGAAAAAATGTTCTTTTTTCCTTTTTCTGGGTGGAGGTAAGGCTACATTTCAGGTAGGCTGATGGTTGTTGTTCAGTGATATCTTGTGGTTGTCTTAACGAATTATTTCAACTCCAAAATGTCAGAAAAGTGAAAAATGCTCCCAAAGGTGAAGTAGATTTTTTTTTTTTTTTTTTTTTTTTTTTTTTATAGAAAGGTGTATTTTTAAAAAATATTATACAATAGACAATTTTAAGATTTTGTTTTTGGGGCAGTCTTTAAATATTGTTTTTGCTGACTGATCCTCGGTGCTTCCAATATAATGGTCCTGATGGTGAATGCTGTACTGAAGATTTACTTTTAAAGAGGCTTTTCCATAACATTACTACCAATGCTACCTTTACCATAATAGAGATTATAAAAACTCATACAATCTTATGTAACATGTTGCTGAAATCACAGGGTTATGGGAGTTCTATGATGAAAAAGCTTAATATATCCATATAGGAGAGCAGATGTAAATCCTTACTTTAGGAAAGGATCCAAAATGGACCAAGTTTGCTGCCCTGATGTGGTTATGTGATCATCTGTTTAAGCCATTAATCCCTCTCTAATCAGGAACCGTTCGATGTTTGCTCATGGAGCATTTGTTGAAATGACAGCGTTATCGTGCCCTTGCAACAAATTCTCTGGGTTTCTACATGTATTTCTCGGGGGGACTACAAGAGGGTAACCATGCCTTTCAGCGGGAGTGAGGTCACTCAGATTCCAGCAAGATGCCTGGCTTTGGCTGCACTATGCTGGCCGCGATGGTCCTGCTCCCTCTCCTCCTGAACGCCGTGATGGGCTTTAAACTGTGCCCCAGCCCCTGCTTGTGCTATGAATCTTCAGACCTGGTGGACTGCAGGTCTCGTGGGTTGACCCGGGTCCCATCCAGCATCTCCCACGGCACTTGGCTGCTGGATCTAAGTGCGAACAAGGTGACAGAGGTGCACACCAGGTCTTTCATAGGACTGTGGTCACTCAAGATCCTCCTCATGTCCAACAACAGCATCCATATTCTGCACCCACAGGTACGTCAATAAGCTGGTTATTGTGTGTTTTCTGTATTTTAGTGCAGCTGTAGAAGTCTTTAGATTCTTACATCAAAGAAATAACCACACTTAAAAAGGAGTACTGCCGTTTTCTAATTAATATTTTAACAAACTGGTTATTGAAGTTTTCTTTCAAAGTCAGTATTTAGTGTCAGTTTGTAGTCTTAGTTTAGGTCTTAGGGGGTTATTATAAATTTAGATATTGGGTGGATTTTGTCAGAGGCATATTTGAGAGGTTTAGAACTGATATTACAATGCGGACGGCACACACAGTCGTGCAGATGTCCTGAGCTCGATAAACAAATGCAGACATTTTTCCAGGACAACCAGCAAAGCAAATTTATATATTTGATTTCTGCGAACTAAAATCCATCCTTTAAATCCTGAATGGCTTATCTAGTTCAGGGTTGCACAGGGCAGCTGGAGCTTATCGGAGTTGTCACGTATTAAACTCGATGAGATGAGAGGCAGAGTACATCCTGGCCAAGCACGCTACCACAGGGAAATGAAAAAAAAAAAAAAAGGTTCACTCACATTAACATACAGCCAACTTAGAATCAGCAGGTAACCTAACAAATGTGTTATCTAAAAGAAACTTGCTAAGCTTTTCAGTGGGGCATTAGTATATGCAGTACTGTGCAAAATTCATGAGCTGAAATTCGTTTCTTTATATGTTGTTAGGAAGATGGGAAATGAGTGCACTTTATTCAAGTGTGCACACATACATGGAAATGCAGTAAATAAGGTAAAACAGAGTTTGTGCAATTCTAACAAACTTGAAAGTCAAGATTTGGTAGGACCAGCTTTTTAATCTTCTGCTTGCAGCCTTCACTGTGTTTTACAAATGGATGTAGACAGCCTTATCCTTTTCAGGGGCGCTGGAGCCTATCCCGGCTGTCATAGGGCGAGAGGCGTGGTACACCCTGGACAGGTCGCCAGTCTGTCGCAGACAACCATTCGCACTCACATTCACTCCCGCATTCACACCTACGGGCAATTTAGATTTTTTCAATTAACCTATCCCCACAAAGTGCATGTCTGTGGGAGGAAGCCGAAATACCCGGGGAGAACCCACGCAAACTCCACACAGAAAGACTTCCTTAACTGCCTTGATGGTGGAATTGCTGTGAGGCAACAGTGCTAACCACCGTGCCGCCACCTCCATACACATTGATGACAATTTAAAACAAAAAAATTAAAATTTGGATTTGTCAGTCCGTAAGAGCTGTTGTCCTTGATTTTCAGTCCAGCTCTTGTTTGTTTTGGCATACCTCGACCTTTCCTCCATTTCCCTTTCTTAAGAATGGCTTCTTGACGTCCAATCTTCCACTGAGATCATTTTTAATGAGGCTGAAGGAACTGATGAATCACTAATTTCCTGTGCCAGGTCATTGCTGGACTTTTTTACTGTTTGTTTGTTGTTGTTGTTTTTTTTTAAAGGAGATGACTGTCACACCATCTACAGATTCTTTTTGCCTCCACTTGTCCATTTTCCTCATTTTGCGCACCATGCTGAGAGATGCCAAGAACTAATTGGTCTTTGGAAATCACCATGTTGGTGCAAAATACAATTTTATGTCTTTCAAACTGTGTAAATTGTAACATTTTTCATAGTCTCAACTAAAGAAAAGGGAGCAAATGTGTTTTTGTCACCAGGCTGCAAATAACAAAGTGCCAAAATATCTTGTTTAAAAAACAATGGTTCACACAACACTCTTTCAACTTGAACTCGCTTGATGCATTTTTTTTTTTTAATGATTAATAAGTCAGTGTTAAGTGTCTTAACAAACAAACATACTTCCAAAAAGGGTAAAAGGACAAGGATGAGTGAAAAAGCAGCCAATGCCCAAAGATAACCTTGACAGTCCTCTAGAAAGCCCGGAAAACTACTGCTCAACAACACTTTATAAAAAAATTTAAGTCTGATTTCTTGGAATTAAAATATAAAGAAATGAGGGGTGACTTTAGCACATCCATCCATTTTTGCTGCTCATCTGGTTTCGGGGGCAGCAGTCTAAGCAGAGAAACTCAGACTTACCTTACCTCACTCACCGCCTCCAGTTCTTCTGGTAGGACAACAAGATGCTGTCTCTTGGGTAGCTTGGGAACAAGTCCTAGTCTGCCCCAGGGCCTCCTCCCAGTAGGACATTCCCAGAATACCTCACCTAGGAGGTGTCCAAGAGGCATCCTAGTCAGACCACCTCATCTGGCTATTTTCAATGTGGAGGAAAAACAGCTCTGCTAAGAAGCCCTCTCAAATAACAGAGCTCCTCACCCTATATCTAAGGGAGAGCCCAGCTACTCTTTGGAGGAAGCTCATTTCTGCCGCTTGTATCCACGACCAGAGCTCATGACCATAGGTGAGGGTTGACCAGTAAATCAACAGCTTCACTACTATATAATATTTAACTCTCTCGCTCTTTCTCCCCCCCCTCCCATAAAGACAACATTTGACCTCTCGTGTTCCCTTCATGACGAGTTTTGATACATCAGTTCATATCAGTAAAGATGTGGTTTGATGACTTCACTAACTTTTCATATCCACACCCAGTTATTTTCTTATGCAAGGATGCATGAAATATAAAACAAACCACCAGTTCAGAAACATGGGTTAACTCTAGAAGATTATTTAAAGGGAAGAGTTAAAATTTCTATTTCTATTTCAATTCAAAAATAAAATATTTAAATTAAACAGAGACAAAGAAAACGTCTGCACAGCTTTGTTTGGGATTTTAGCTTGGCGGAAAAAAACCCTTAAATTTCCCTCTGGAACCGGTTTCCTGAGATGAGATGCAATATATATTGCTGCAGTTGCTGCAAAAACACACCTGATAACTGACCACGTTTTAAGTTAAACCACAATTCAAACTCAGCTGATTTGAGTAATGTGTTGTTTCTAATTTCTTTTTCCATTTTAGTCTCTGTCATCCCTGCAGTTTCTGGAGAAGTTGGATTTGAGTTTCAACCGGCTGCGGTGGCTCCCTCAGGACTTCTCTCAGGGCCTAGACTCCCTCCAGGAGCTCCGGCTGAGCCACAACCTGCTGCAGCACTTAGACTCCAAATCACTGGAAGACTGTGGCAGCTTGAGGAAACTGGACCTCAGTTACAACCACATCCGAGGACTGGACATCAAGGCTTTGAGCAGTCTGTCTCGACTGAGCTTCCTCAACATGGAGGTAAACAGGCTGAATGTTCTCAAAGATGGCCAGCTGAACAGGCAGCAAACTTTGGAGGTCCTGCTGCTCAACTACAACAACATCTCAAAGATTGAGGCCGAATCTCTGGCTCCCTTGCGAAGGCTCTCTCTGCTAGGTCTCAAGGGAAACCAGCTAGAGCACATAAGATTCAAGACCTTCCTGAAGCTCCAGACAACCAGCACCTACCTTCAGATGTCCCTCAACCCCTGGATCTGTGACTGCGAGCTGCAGCGCATCTTCGGCAAGATCAACCACGTGAGACATCTGCACGTAGAGGACTACAAGGACATCATCTGTCACGCTCCCGCTCAGCTAGCCGGAAGTCTCCTGGCTTCAATGGACAGCCAGCTGTGTATAGCTGAGACTGCCTCAGTGCTCGTCATCACCATCACCGTGATGCTCGCTGTGATTGGTGCTCTGGTAAAAGCGGAGCGCAACCATAAGAACAAACAAGCCTCAAGTGAAGCAGAGTCCCAGGGACAAGAAAAGTGATACTTTTTACTCATTAACAGGAACTCTAGGACTAATATGTGACCTGATTCTGGATGCTGAGCAGCAGACGAGTACAAATTATCACATTCTATTCTGTTTCAATGCTCTTTAAAGCTTTTTATACGTATGAAGCAGGCACAGTAGGAAAAAGGAGAGAAATCAAAGTGGAAATGGCTCATGTAGTAGCATAGTAAACAATCCAAATTTACCCATATGTTCTGGGTAACATGAACATTATAAGTGTCATCTTGTATACTTGCCTAAAGAATTTTTTAATGAGACGCAAACTTTGTCTTAATCTACAGATTACAGCAAAAGAGCGCGAGTAGGGCCTAGAGAAGAGCCTGAGCACTATTCCGGTGCATGTAGGACTCATTCAACATCAGGCTACCTCCGAACATTTTTGAAATTCCCTTTACTGGTCTGACGACACAGCCACATCTCAACCCCTTTGAAAACTGGTTCGTCTCCAGTACCTGATCTTTCCTTTTTGTCATTGACCTTTTTTAAATGAGCTAAAACGTGTAACATGTTCCATATGGGATGTGACACTATGGTCATATTACACTGGTTTTATTGTTGATGTATTTCATGTAAATATTGTATGAAGAAATCTTTATTTTAGCAATGGTGGCCAAACCTATTGCAAAAGTTCATAGCAAACCACAAAACAAAACAGACTGACCAGTCTGGCAGGTTGGAAGTGATGCAGTGAGAGTAGTAAAAACATAAAACCAACATATGACTAAAACAATTATTGAAATCATTAATGGAATAAATGGAAGCTCAAAGGTACATCTTCTTTAGCTAAGTATAAAAACACATTCAGGTGTTTTCTTTGTGTTGAACTTAGGGCTGTAAGATATAACGATATATATCGGATGACGATATAAAAAC